TAAAGTAATCCAGCCGAGATGAAATAAAAATATGGACGACTGTTTCAAAGGGTTGCCGTGAAAGAAAAGGTTTTACTTTTGCCAATTGAGTAAAACCCAGTTTGGCCTTAACAACATCCGGGACTTTGTTGGTTCTTGGTCCGCTGTTCTAGTGAAATGGAACAGTACTGAGGATGATGATGTTTCACGGCCAAACTGAGTAGACAGATTGATAAATGGCCCGTCGTCTTCTGGCTCAACCATTCTGGAGCTTTATTTACTTTCCTTAGAGATCATAGTCCCTCCAGCAGGGTCATCTCAAACACATTCTCTAGGTCCCAGAATGCATAAAATTCCACCACTAAAATTTTTACCAGCAGGTGGAGCCATTGCGCGCAGCTCCAAGCTGACACCAGAAGTTCCAAACCCCACAGCTCTGGAACTGTTATAGCTAGAGGTCTGAAATTTTCTGCATTTGTGGTTGACATGATGTAGAACAAATATAACACAATAAAACCTGCCTTTTCTCAAGAATGTCTTTATTACTGTTGTTCAAAAAAGACCTATCATTTCCGAGAATAAAAAACAACAACTTTGAGTCATGTTTGAACTGATGCAGGTTGGTCTGTGTTCTAGTCACCCAATTATAGAAACTACAGAGTGTTAGCTTTCAAATAATGTATTGCATATGTAATTTGGGTTCCTAAGTTATTTGCTTTTTCATTTTGGTATGCAAAATAGGTGAGGATTACCCAAAATGAGGTGGATGTTAAGAGGTTATTAAGAAAGAACTGATTTTGTCTCAAAGAAAAGAAAGCTGGGAGTTTATCTCCTTGGCAGTAAGCAGAATTAGGGTGAAGCTGTGGCCTTGTCTGTCTCAGGTCTCCAGCTGTTGGCCACAGCCAGTCGGGACCGTCTGATCCATGTCCTGGATGCATCCAGAGACTACAGCCTGGTCCAGACTCTGGATGAACACTCTTCCTCCATCACCGCCCTCAGATTCGCTGGTCAGCTTCTATCACCTCCTTCTTCCTTCCTTCCTTCCTCGCCTTCTTTCCTTCCTTTCTCGTCTTCCTTCCTTTCTCGCCTTTCTTCCTTCCTTTCTCGCCTTCCTTCCTTCCTTCCTTTCTCTTCCTCCTTCCTTCCTTTTTTCGCCTTCCTTCCTTCCTTCCTTTCTCGTCTTCCTTCCTTCCTTTCTCACCATCCTTCCTTCCTTTCTCGCCTTCCTTCCTTCCTTCCTTTCTCGCCTTCCTTCCTTCCTTTTTC